TACTTTTAGGAATAGAGCCCACAAAAAGCCTATTGTTGGCAACTGAGATGCAGACACCAATGTGTTTTCCAGAACGAATTTCATGATTATTATACTGAAAGGGGAAAAAAGTGCACCATTTTTCGATTACTTGTATCAATTAGATGTATTTACTACCATAGAAGATCCCCAAGTCCCATACACAAAATCAAAATTTTTAACAAACTACCACTGTGTGAAAAGAATTTCATACTTGAAAAAATGGTTTACTTTAATTCCCATATAAAAACGAATTATAATCAGAGATAACACATTGAACAATTTTATGAATATTTCACTGAATTCTTTAAATCCAGGGAGGAAGGTTTGAGCAGCTTAAATTCAAAAATGATAATTCTACAACACCTTAACTTTTACTTAAATCCATTCTGCCAACCAGTTATTTTCATGCAAAGGAATGCAAGTCCAGCAAGCTTTCTGCCTTCCTAGTAACCAGTATATAAAATCGTTTTTTCTCTCTATTCTCTTGTAATAACTTGCAATAAGGAATTTTGTGTTTCAAATATATACATCTAAAAACAGAATTCCTTTTTATACTACCCCCCCACCTTTTGATGGTGGTACTAGGAATCAAACCCAGGGGCACTTCACCACTAAGCTACATCTCCAGCCCTTTTGATTTTGAAAGGTCTTGCCAAATTGCCCTGGTTGGCCTTGGTTGCAATCCTCCTGCCTCAGCCTCCCAAGTCACTGGAATTAAAGGCATGCACCTCATTTCACTTTCATTAAGCACATAATAAATTCATGAAGGAAAAAGACAAATAGATTATGATGGTAAAACTAGTATTATAAAACTACAGTAAAATGTAAATTCAATTTTCATGTAACCATGTCCTATAAAATGATAAGATATTAAAGGGCAGGTGCAAAATGATAAAAAATTATTTATAAATCAAAATACAGAAATATCCAAATTTTTTAATTTAAAAGTATCCAAATTATCTGGAAAAGTGGATTAAATGAATTATGTAGTTAAAACCACCTCAAAAATGTTATTAATAATTGTGGGGGTGACATTAATTATTAATTCCTAACACCTGGCCTTAACATCAATTTCATACATACATACAAGTGGAAATAAACAAAAGAAGCCACATTAATTTCCATACAACTTATAGAATGGCTTTATGCGGGGAAAAACATTATTATTTATTACTCTCATTTTTGCACAATAGGTGCATCAGGTATAACAGAAAAAAACAATCCACAAAGTCAATTCTTCCATATCCCTTTTCCATCTCCAGATAATCAAAATTAAACAAAGTTCACACACTGCACCTCAATTCAGATCAGTTTCAAACTTTCTACCTGCCTGGCTCTGTTCAAGCTATCCAAGTCTCTGGACACCGTGGTCCCAAATTTATCTCTATATTTATGTCAAAGACAGAACCTTGGGGCTGGGGTTATGGCTCAGCCTCGCACGTGCAAGGCTCTGAGTTCGCTCCTCAGCACCACATAAAAATAAATAAAGGTACTGTATCCAACTACAACTAAAAAGTAAATATTTTTTAAAAAGACAGAACTTTTTTTAAAATCATTTTTCCTATTGAAAAAATGTCTGCAGTGCACAATGGCACACACCTGTAATTCCAGCAATTTGGGATCCTCCCAAGGTCGGCCTAGGCAAATTATCAAGACCCTGTCTCAAAATAAAAAATGAAAAGAGCAAGAGATACAGTTCAGTGGTAGAGAGCCCCCAGGTTCTCAATGGCTCCCTATCACCAAAAAGATAAAGTTCAATGCTTGAACATCAAAAGCCCATCCTAAAACTCCTGGCTACTTTCCCTTTCTCTCCACAATAACTTAGTCATTTATTTATATCAGTTCTCAAGTGTGCAATACTTTCAAAGCCTCTGAAGAAAAAATTTGTAAACTTCTACCAAACTCTTCCAAATACCAGTAAAACAGAGTTCAACCATTAAATACTCTACAATTCCTCAGTCCTATAAAGGTTAACAAAAACACCCTTTCATGTTAACAAAGACCAATAGTCCTCAATGGGAGTAACTTTGCCCCTAGACAAGGCATCTGACATTACTGGTTGTCTTAAGTTGTGTAGGTGTGTGGGGGGGGGGGAGGAAGGTTGTCTTGCCACTGGTATTTATTGGGTAAGTAAATGTCAGTAATACTGGGAAACATCCTACCATTCACACAGGACAGGACAGCCAATCACAACAAAGAATCATCTACTCTAAATAAAACAACACGAGTGGTGAGGTTGAGAAATCCTACCATATACTGTTTTCTAACATATCACGTAAGGTCTATTTACCTGTTTTTCTTTTCCATCAACCCAAAAGCCTCTTCGAAGCAGAAACATTTATTAGAAAATATTGTCACTATGATTGAATCTGTCACTGTTTGGGATTATGGATAATTAGACTATAGTGCCTTATTTCTACAAACAGGTCAACCTGTTAAGAACATAATAAATTGCATTTAAACATGTATACCCCCCAATAGATTTTTATAACCCAGCATCAAACAGCCAGCCTTAGTGGCATGTCAATGATTTGATTTGGTTTTCTAGTCTGTAACTCTTAAAAAGTGACAAAAACTATAGAAATACTAAAAAAAAAAAGGAAGGAAGGAAATACAAATGTTTAAAGGGAAAAACAGGAGTTTCGAGGGTGACACTAGTGGTATCATCATCATCATCATCATGTATTTTGTTTTCCAAAAGTTCTAAAAGTGAAGTTAATTAAGAAATACATAACTTAACAAAAACATGAATTCTTGGATATACCAACAAAATAATATTGAAAGCAAAAACAATGCTCACAAGAACTCTAGCAGTGAAAGGCAAGACAATAGAGGAAAAAAATTCCCTTAAGGCATCAATCAGAAATATAGGGAGGCCAACCCATTGATTATGCTGGTAGTGTAGCCAACACTTCCGGCAATTACCAACATAATCAATGCTATCTCTTATAAATTATTATTATTTTTATTATTATCTACAGAAAAACCATTTCTTTCCTTCTAACCCATCATGCCAGCTCGTCTCTGAACAATATAACATGAATATTTAGCAAAAGTTATAAAATAAACTTTTTCTCCCACATTCAAAGAAAACTTAGAACAGGTAGCACAGAATAAATTAGCTCTCCAATGAAAATAGAAGTCTTTAAAGGAGCAAAGAAACCTTGTGGGCATACTATCCAAATAAAACAAAGTACTCAGAAATAAACACTTCTTAAATGCTCCATCTATGAAGTTATGTGTATTTAAATGTCCAAATGCTTAATCTTTCTCACTCCAGTACCAATCTTTCACCTTAAGTAACAAATCTCATCTCAGCAAGCAGGTTAACAACAGTTGAGTTTCATGGTGAAAAGAAAACACAAAAATCTAAGCCTGAAGAGAAACTCAAATTTAACAATGATGAACTCTAACCACTCAAACAAACATGAGATCTTTCCTACTTTTGGAACGTGAGCCCTAGCTTTAGGCCCAATGCCACAACAGGGTCACCAAATATAAAGATGAACTTTGACCATTCAATGTGGTTTCAGTACTTAAGTATCCAAAATAGGAGGTTTGGGAGTTCTTAAATACAGAACTTAAATATTTCATCTAGGCTTAAATTTTTAAGTCATTTTTTCCTTCTTCATCTACATCAGCTACCAAATTCCCAGAAATTTAGCAGTTTCAGATATGGAATCTGATCAGTTCTAACTCTTCTCAATGAAGTTACTACCTCCCCCAAGCCCATCCATTTTAATTTTAAGCATTACTTGATGCTTATACTGGGCCTCAATCTACTTCCCTAAAAATTCTAAAGTAAACCCATTTCTTCCCCAAATGACAGCACTTCTTTTACCTGTACAAGTTCATGACTCAGTTGTTCTCTATGATTGACTAATCATTCCTTCTTTGATAATGGCAAACTAAAATGCCTCCAAGAGACTAGCAGTGTCATTTAAGAATGTCATTCATAACACAATATTAGTAGATGCAGACTAAGATTGAGAATTTTAGATCGGACAGGAGACCACTAATTTTCCACTTCTTGACACCATACACTCCTATTATAGGTAGTCCATGTTATTTAGCTTATTTGGCATTCACATCATATTGCTGACTCACAGCACAGCTTGTTTTACAAAGGACTTCAATTTTGTCAACTCCATTCTATTAGTAGTCCAAATCTGACTACCTTACCCTATCGAAGTTTTTCAAACCTTGATTTTATCACCCAAGGCATTATCCTCATGGCTTACAGATTCGACACCTTTCAGACCAACTATACCCTCACATAAGGTACTTATAAAAATTTAGATAAGTTCTACAAAATATCACTAGTAGCCAATCATTTCTCTATTCAAAATCTTTGCCCTCTCTCTATTGCTGCCATTCTCCTTTTGTCCTTTTTTCTCTTCATCCAAATATCCTTCATTATTCAAACATTTACATAAAGCCACCACACCAAGGCTCAAACTTTAATGGGACTAGGCAGTTCTAAACTACCACCTTCTAGCATTGGTTTTTATTAAAGTTTTATCTCCTACTTATTTCCTCAAAACAGTTTTAACTATGTCCACTTGCTTTCTTCAGTGTGCTGCTGAAATCTTTCACACAATCCTTCTCTACCAATCCTAATTCAAAACAATCTCTCCCTTCATCCTTTCTTCACTCGTTTCACCATATGCCTACATTTTAATTGCAGTTGTCTTCTAACTTCTCTAAYGTCAAAAAACTTGTGTATCCATAATAAACCTTTCCATGTTAAACATAATACTTGCTAAATTTCTACTAAAGTATTTTGTGATCTATTTTGTTAGCTGCATTCATCAGAACAGTTTTACCTACATTATGTTGGTAGGACGACTGTGGTAAATAAAACAGTCAGTGGCTGTTAAAATTTTGACTGTCAATGTGCAAACAAAGATCTCATCTAGGGCTGGGGATGTGGCTCAAATGGTAGCACACTCGCCTGGCATGCATGAGGCACTGGGTTCAATCCTCAGCACCACATAAAAATAAAGATATTTTTAAAAATCTTAAAAAAAAAAAATCATCTACTCCAGTGTTTGTAACATAGACACTAGTAGCATTTTCACCAGGACATTTTTTTTTTAAAGAGAGAGCGAGAGAGGAGAGAGAGAGAGAATTTTTAATATTTATTTTTTAGTTCTCGGCGGACACAACATCTTTGTTGGTATGTGGTGCTGAGGATCGAACCCGGGCCGCACGCATGCCAGGCGAGCGAGCTACCGCTTGAGCCACATCCCCAGCCCCCTTCACCAGGACATTTTCATTATTTGGACTGTCATAGCACTGCAGCACCACTGACCCTAGCCTCCAATTCCAGTAGCATACCAAATAAATATACATAACACACTTGCCTGCCCTTCTTTCTGGTTACTCTAATAATCAAAACCCCATATATTCCCAAATAGGTGAGGGGAAAGTCCATTATCACACACTCATCTATCTAATCCCTATATCTGATGATAGCACAGAATAAATAAAATTACTGCAAATGAAGACTACGAAACCTTTGAGCTACATAGAAATATAAATTATTGGGTCAAACGATGTATTAGATGGCACTAGTCAGCCAGTCAGGTTATTTACCCACCATCTATTACATAGTGGCACTGTTCTAAAAGGTTAGTGATATGGGGTGGATGGCTTATATTCTTTTACTAAGTCAAGAAATAATTTTAGCAGGGCACAGTGGTGCATGCCTGTAATCACAGTGACTCATGAGGCTGAGACAGGAGGATTCCAAGTTCAGCCAGCCCTTAGCAATTTATCGAGGCCCTAAGCAACTGGGCAAGACCTGTCTCTAATACAAAAAAGGGCTAGGGAAGAAGCTCAGTGGTTAAGTGCCCCTGGGTTCAGTCCCAGGTACACAATAAATAAATAATTTAAGCAATACCTTAAAAATTTTTTTTTGGCTTCTTTAACTCACAATTACCTACACAAAGCAGGAAGCACTATTATATGTATGTATGTATTTATTTGCGGTGCAGCACCTGGGACTTCATGCACACCAGGGAGATACTCTACCCCTAAGACACACCGCCCCCCCAGTCCAGCAAAACCTATTTCATAAAGATCAGAATATAACTGGAAGTTAATAGTATAACTGGAAGGTAAGCTGCTCAAAGTCAGGAAAGGCCTTCCAACAGGACCTTACTGATAAGTCAACAGCAGTAACATCTGGGCTACTTTCCAAGTGTAGAAAAGCAAAATAGCAGAAAGTGGTCTAGAGATAAAAATGGCCATAGTTTATTTGGAAGACAAAAAAGAAGGGCAAGTGAAGCTGTTAAGAGAAAGATCATGAAAGGAGGAAGAGGTAGGCAAGAACCTGATTGGATATGCACGGTTTGGAAGTTTTCAGCATGGGAATATTATCTAATCTGTACTGTTAAATGTAAAGGACAACAGAAGTCAGTGAGAGTGGTCAGGATTCTTCAGTAGTCCGAATGGTACAAATGGTACCATAGTGTTAACAGTAAAGATAGTATAGGTGATAGATGCCAAAAATATCTTGGTAGTGGAGGCATGACTTACCTTGTGAGCTCTTTTTAACACTGCCTAAACTACTAGATAATTTAAAGAATCACACTACTTGGTGCCATAATTTGTACTGATGGATTCAATTGTGGTCTAGTTAATGTAGCACTTAGCACAAAGCCTGTCCCTCAAAAAGTACTCAAGTGGTAACTATTAATTACCTTTTCATAAGTTTAGATACTATCTCCCTAGCTAGATTACCATCATTTAGAGATGGGCTTGTTTTACTCCCCCAAAATACAAAGCAGATGTTGGTTGAAAATATGGTCATTCAAGAATGCTGCAGTTTCTTGTAACTCCATGCTTCTTCTGCTAGTAAGATCCATTAACCCATTTTTACAAGTAATCCACATGCAAATTATAATCTGTAAATTTTTAATCTTGGATAATAATTGCTGAATCAGTATTTAAAAAAAAAAAAAGGACAAACACCTGAACAAACTAACTTTCAACCTCAAGATATTCAAGACACTCAAATGTTTCAATTTTTTCTGATGTATAAATAAATGTATAAATAAATGCAGAATGGGGCTGGGGATGTGGCTCAAGTGGTAGCGCACTCAACTCGCATGCGTGCGGCCCAGGTTCAATCATCAGCACCACATACAAAGATGTTGTGTCCGCTGGAAACTAAAAAATAAATATTAAAATTCTCTCCCTTTAAAAAATAAATAAAAATGCAGAAGAGGTACTTTCACAACATTTGTCATGTATAACAACAGTGACACTTCAATTATATAAAACCGCATCTTTGTTGTAACTCAAAAAGAAAATTTCAAGATAAAATACAAGGGACAGTTTCCAAAGTATGCTCCCTTGAGGAATGTATTTAGGAAGGAAAAAGGCATTTCCACAACTGAATACAAAGTAGCAAAAAACATTGAAAATCAATTTGAGGGTTTTTTTGTTTTTTGTTTGTATTTTACATATTTTCCAGAATGTTTAAATTACATCACTTTCTCTAAAAACCTAATCCTTGCTTTTACTGCTGTATTTAATCAAACCTCTCAAATCCTATCCACAATAAAAAATTCTTTAAAAAAAAAAAAAAGCAAATATGTCCAACTCAACCCAATGGACATACATCATTACCACCCACACACAAAAAAATTAAGGCACCAAAATGCAAAGCCTCCTGGTTTGTCAAATAGTAAAATACAATTGTACCCTCAGATAAGGACTCAAATCACAACAGAGAAACCCATAAAGAAGTGGTAAAGGTTTAGGACAAGAGTTAGTTCATAGACCATCAAAAAGGCTGCTTGATCTTAATATTTATATTAATATATAGTAACATAGGCTAAAGAAGATATAAATAAGTGTCCTCTACCAATGCAATTTTGCAACAACTTTGTAGAAACCTGTTAAGCTAAAACAACCATCCAAACTAAAACACTTCAAAATATACTTACTGGCACTCAAAAGACACTGACCTATCTTTACTATAAGCCTTCTAGAAATCATCTAGAAACAAGAATCTACCATAACAAGTATAGTATGACATCAAAAATTAAATAATCTACAATTTCAATTTAATGGTTCTTTTCAAAAATGATTCTAATACCACATCACTGGCTAAATTTTGTATTAGGTTTTTGTAACAAGATAGTTCATTGAGTTTCTCTATCATTCTGCATTGTCATATTAAAACTTAACAGCTGCTTTTATTAAAAAAAGAAAAGTGGRGCTGGGGTTGTAGCTCAGCGGTAGAGTGCTTGCCTCGCATACGTGAGGCCCTGGATTCGGTCTCCAGCACCACGTAAAAATAAATTAAAAAAGAATAATAAAGATACTCACTGTGTCCATCTACAACTAAAAGAATATTTAAAAAAAAACCTACTACCACTTTGTTGCTACCCAGCAAAAATACTCTAAAATTAAGCATGTAATTTCTAAAGCTCCAAAAAGTCCTTTATTATACCCAAACTGATAAAACCAAAATTTTGACAGCTCCAAGGTTACAATGCTACCAGTGAATGGCTCCCTATGAACCAATATCCCCTCTGAAATAGGAAGCATTCTTTTAAGGAGAGCAGTTACTCCTTACTAAGTGACAAAATTCCTGAATTCTCTCTTTAAAGAAACCCATTTTTCTAATGTTAAATCTCCACAACACTCAATCATGTGTATACACACATACACACACACATACACACACACACACACACACACAATGTAAGAATTCAAGCAATACAGAACAGCAAAATAAAGCATACTGATTTTTCTCTTTAAAGTCTGCCTTAAAATGTGATATAGGTTGAGCATCCAAAATCTGAAAATCAGAAATCCAAATAAGATGCACAAAACCTTGGAATTCTGAAGCATTTCAGATTTTTGCATTAGGGACGCTCAACCATTAAAGCCTATGCAAATATCCCMAAACTAGAAAAACTCTGAAATCTGAAATATACTTCTGGTTCCAAGTATTTTGGATAAGGGATACTTAACCTGTATATATGGGGGAAAAAATATTTTTTAGAAGAAATTACTCTTAAGAGTTTTCTCAGAATTATCACAAAATATTAGATAAGGCGAAATTTAAAAACATCTGTCCAGTGAGTGACCCATCTACAAAAGTTTCCTTCTACTTGTACTCCTTGTTAAGTTCCATAGGTTTAAATTAACCTCTGGCTCTTAAATTTTTAAATAAATCATAGAAACCTTGATTCACAGAATTTAATAAAACTTTTGGCACACGCATATAGTTCCAGCTACTTAGGAAGCTAAGGCAAGAGGATCACTTAAGCCCAGGAGTTCAAGACCAGCCTGAGCAATGCAGTAAGACTCCATGGGGGGGGGGGGGGGCGGGCTTGAAGTTAAATAAGCCATTTTAAACATTAAAATTTCTTTACAAAGTCAGAGAAACTAATTAGGTTTTCACCTATCTGATATTTTTAAATCAAATATTGCCACTCAACATAAAACCCCTTATGGCATTATCTAGAAATTTATAACGTCTTTGTAAATTTTTGAAAAAAATATGGCTCAGATGCAGCCAGAAAACTATGAGAGCACTATTACAGTTATTTTCCTAAACTTTTCCACATTCCTATAAATTTAAATTCACACACACAAACACACATACAAAAACCCTATCTTTATGCCAGGTGTTTCAAGAACTAGTAACCAGGAATTCTACATACTACTCATAGATCCTGACTCTAAAACTATTTGTGTAAATACTTCACAATGTTTACACAGAAAATGCCGAATATATTGCCTAATGAAAGGCACAATAAGAAAAAAACCTGGCAATAAAGATAGTGAATATGAAGATTTGGGAGGAGGGGACAACAACAACAAAAAATCTTACCAATTTAACAGCCTCTTGAGCTGCTTCTTTTGTACAAAAAGTGACAAACGCATAACCTCTATTGAGACCAGTGAGTGGATCCATCATTAGACGAAGATCCCATATAGGTCCAGCTTTCTCAAATAATGGAACAAGCTCATCCTCAAACAGATCTCTTGGGATCTTCCCCACAAATATCTGTAAATTAAATATGAAGTAAAAACCATGGAGAATTCTTTAGGAAACCAGATACCTGTGCTTTATTACAAAAGGTACAAGTTTTTAGTTTCTTTACCTCAGTGCCAACAGAAGGCTGCTGACCTGAATAAACGGAATCTGGAGGCGGTCCCCCATACTTCCTCTGTCCAGTGGTCACATCAAGTGTGTAGCCTGTTCTTTCCAAGAGTGCCTTGAAAAGTTCAAACACCATTGATACTTTTAGTATTAGACTATCTATATTCACACATTTATAGTAGTTAAAAATCAATCTTGTTCAAATCTTTCTAATTATGTTAGCAACATTCCCCCATAAATATATTTCTGGGAAGTGAAAATTAAGCTCCATCAACAACTTCCAGGAGAAGGTGTATCCACTCCACTAATACCTCCTAAAAAATAACTGCATCTAACTTGATTAACTATAAATTTCTTACCAAATTCCCTGCACCTGACTCCTAGGTACACACAGCCATTCTGGGCATTTTGTCAACCCCTGAAGATATTATACTCCCCAAACCAAGGAAATTGCATGGAAATGGAAGGAGACCCTCACTGTTATACAAAATTACATATAAGAGGAAGTGAGGGGAAAGGGGGGGGAAAAAAACAAGGGAGAGAAATGAATTACAGTAGATGGGGTAGAGAGAGAAGATGGGAGGAGAGGGGAGGGGAGGGGGGATAGTAGAGGATAGGAAAGGCAACAGAATACAACAGACACTAGTATGGCAATATGTAAAAACGTGAATGTGTAACCGATGATCCTGCAATCTGTATACAGGGTAAAAATGGGAGTTCAGAACCCACTTGAATGAAATGTATGAAATATGATATGTCAAGAACTATGTAATGTTTTGAACAACTAATAATTAAAAAAAGAAGAAGAAACTTGGGAAGTACAGGAAAAACAAACTCGTATTATTTGACATTAAAGTACCATGCATCACAGGTTAGCACAGGTAATTCAGAAAAGTCAAAATGACTAAAAAATTTATGACATTGCAACAATGTAACTTCTACATTTTATCTCCCTGAAAGTGAACTGTTAAAATTTACACAACTCATTTCACTTAAGAGTAGGAGTTTCTCTTCACTCCTTATAATGGTAGGCAAAAGTACTAAAGAGTAGCCCATTAATCTTTAATAAAGTCAAGAATTAGTCCCACCTCTCTACCACCTCAGCCACAAAACAAACATGGTTTTCTCTAAACAAAACCAATCTACTAATTAGCTGGTAATTCTGAAATTTAAAAAAAAAAAATCCTATGACAAAACTTGTTAAAATGTTGTCAAATGGTTTGGGGTGGCCACGTTTTTCTTGTTTGTTTTTAACATTTTCTACCCAAAGAACATTAAATATGAAATTATTAAGCTAGGAATGTAGTATTTGCCTAGTAGCATGCTTGAAGTTCTGGGTTTAATCCCCAGCACTATCAAAAAGAAAGTATCATTCATTTACAAAAACACATAATTCACATGCAAAAAAAGCCTTTGTTCTTCAACTTTATAACCAAGAAGTTCACAAGAAGCTACTTAAAGTAGTTCTTTCTTCTTTAACCACCAATTAGGACTGCTTCATAGTACAGTACAACACTAGGTAACAAAACTAAAAATATATGACTATCACATAAACCAAATGGCTTATTCCTATTCTCACATGTCATCTGTGCTAGAATTATGCTTTCTTTTAACTTAATCTTTCTATGATCCAAATAACACCTTTTGTCAATGTATTTAAAAAAAAAAAACCTTACTCCCCATCAAACATCCTATAAAAATGTCTATCACAATTTAGATACCATTAAAGCTTTAAACTACCTCCTTCCAAACACAGAATTGAAAGACATTCAATTTGCTAACAAATAGACTTTAAAATCTCAACTTCTTGGTTGACATTAAGCTAATTCCATCTTCCAATCTTATCTATATTACAGGATTCCCTCTTCCCCTCTATTAAAACCTTATCTAACATCTATGCCTTTCTTACTAACTTGTCTTCTCAAACCCTAACTCTTGGCCCAAGAACAGTGGTGCAACTATAAAAGAACACAAAATTAAAAACTAATATGAACCATATTTCTATGAACCAGAAAACTCACCAACACAAAGATCAAAATCTAGCTGAATTTAAGGCCATTTAATCTCCCATGACCTTAAAATTACCCAAAAAAGCCTTTCACCCTATCTGTTTCTCATTTACATTCCCACACTGAACAATCTTACTGTTAAAGGTTGCTTTTAGAAATAAAACAAGCTAACCTTAATAAAAGATACTAATGCAAGAAGCAGTGTTAAAATTACAAATTCACTGGGGCTTGAGCCTTCTAAGATAATAAAACAGCAGCTTACTACACACTTTCTACCAGCAGGTAGAAAAGTAAACCAATTCCTCCCAGTTTGATCTGTCAATAAACTAACTTGTATCTTTATAAAAAGTATCTAGATGTATAATGGATAGGTTTCTTTAAATGTTTTATTTGGCATATTAATAACCCATATTTAAACATCAGTAGCTAACAAGAACAGCAAATTGTTTTAGAAACAGAAATAATTTTAAAATGTCCAATTACTTTCAAAAAACAGTAATTAGAAAAGACGAACAATCTTTAAAATATAAATACATCCATGTCGCACCCAAGGAATATTTATCAAAGCTACAAAATGGTTAAGGGAACTTCAAAAGGAATTTTTAAAGACATACCTTAATTTTTGCTTCATCTGGTCCTTTACTAGAATCTGCAACTTTGGTCCCCTGTTTTTCTCTCTGCCTATAAGTCTTCATGACTCCACATAAAAAGGCACTTTTGTTCTGCAAAAAAATTTTCCATTCATATTTAACAATTACCATTTATATGTCTAATAAAGCCAAAATGTGTGTATCAAAACTAATCAAAATTTTTAATCTTTCTACACTGACATTAAATTAACATTACCTGAACATGAGAGAGATCACTGTCTTTAAACTGTTGAAGAACTGCCAATGCGCCGTCTTCATTGAACTCTTTTAAAGCTTCGATAGCTCTTTCATCTAAATCACTATGTGCAACTAGCCCTGGAGAAGAGAAAACTTAATTAGTTATCAACTTTCAACATTTCTGAAAAAGTTAAAAATAATAAAAGACCTGTATAGGCCAATATACGTATGTTTATGACAACAATTTTATTCCCCTTATCTGCCTAATGAAAAACAAACATTCCTTAGCCACTCAAAATTGCATTCTGAACTAAATAATGCCTCTCAACCACACAATACAAGTCAACTTATTTTACATTGTTTTGTGTCCAAGTCAGATGGTTCTCAACACTACCCTATTTCTACAGTAAATATACAGACTTACAAATCCTAAAGTCAACCAACAAAATACCAAGCATGACAACTGAACATCTACTCAATTACAAGTACCACTAGAAAAAAGAACCACCACACCAATACAGACAACAAGTCTACAGTTACCAAATTATTTAACAAGAATCCTATTATAAAAATACCCAAAAAAGTCACATGGGCTGCTCCCAACATTTAGCAGCTGTTGCTACTGTCATATAGTTATCCATCAGGCCAGCCAGCCTTCCCCTAGGGAGGGCCTATCCCTGCTTAACACTTCCCTCCCTCTACACACCTTAATCTCTAGTTCAAACCTAAGTTAACCAACTATCAGAACAAGTCAAATCTCTAGTTCCCACACTTATTGGAAACCACAAAAAGTTGCTATTTTAGCTCAAAGCCAGAAATCCAATAGAAAAATTTCATAATGTAATTTTGCAAGTGTTAGTTCTTACCTGCAACGTAAATTTCATCTAGTTTTTCAGCAACTTTCTGTGGTAAACCAGCATCAAGCAATGTCTGAAAATTTTCTGAATGGATAACTGCAGAAGTAGTATCCATGGGCTCTTCAGTACCATTTCCATTAACATGTTCTGTAGCCATGTTTCCAGAGATCTGTTCAAACGCAATAAGCAAAATTAAACTAGGATCTTCAAACAGAATACAGGACAATATGAGAGCCCCAATCTTTACTTTCTCTACCACTTACTACACCAATCAACCTGTGCCTCCCTTGAAAAAAAGCCTTACTTTAGAGTCACTATCGCCTGACAAGCCAGATTTGGAGCCCAGGGCACAGAAGGACCAATATGCTATATTCTTCCTGAGCACCACCCCTGACTCACCTGCTAACACTCCCTAGAAAAAACCATATTACAAAGGAAGCCCAATCAGCACGGAGACGAGTCAGCGTGCCACATGCAGCTGTCCCCGTACGGAGAAAAAGGTGTGTGTAAAGAAAGCAAAGCTGGGCTCGTCCCTCTCCAAGGTAAACCCCCAAAGTGCGCTTTTCCCGCCTGCCGCTTATAGATCAGTAACAACAGCCAGCGAAGAACAAAGCGTTCACACAAGACACCTTCCCACCACCCAATTTCTCCACCCTTCACCCCCACACCCCAAAGCCCGCCCCCGACTCCGCACCCAGAGCGGCAGCCTCACCACTGCAGCCGCCAGGAGCCCATTAGAAACACGTGCTCTACGCCTTCAAAATGTCCTACAACTTCCTTCAACGGAAACCCACCAAGTCCCAGGCCAAGACGACCATCACTGGCTCCCAAAATCAACCCGCAGCCGCGGTCCAAGCCCCCAAAACGCTGCAGAAGCACAACCTCGCCCCTCAACACCCAGGCCGCGGCGGCGCCAGGCCACAGGCTCTCCCCGCCCCCAGCGCCGCCGTCTCCGCCGTGACACATGGCTCTCTGCCTCGGGCGCTCCCCGGGCGCCGGCGACCCCCGGCCTCCCGCCCGGCCAAGACTTGACCTGGGGCGCGCGGTGGAAATCCCCATCCCCAGCCCCTCGGTGCAGTGACTGCGGCGCCGGGACCGACAAGCCCGCGGCTTGAGGGCGTTCCGCGGACAGCCCCACGCCTGCAAGACCCCGAGCACCGCCCAAGCACGCCGCACGGCCGCGGGACCGGCTCCTCTCCGCCCACTCCCGCGGCGACGGCCACGACACCACCAACTCTGCCGCCGCTCGTGGTCCGCGCGGGCCACGGGGCCGCGGAGGCACCTCCTCCTGGAGCGCCGTAGACAAAGCCCGAACGGCAGCAGCACATGGAGAGGAGGAAGTGGCGGCGCGAGCCGCGGCCTACTCCCAGACAGCCCCAGTCAACGTGCTCCTCTGCCCCTTGGAATCCATTTTCCAGAAAAGCCGGTTTCTCCCCGAGCCGCCCTCCCCCAGCTCACTCCACAATGTCATGGAGCTCCCCTCCCAGACCCGGGTCCTGGCGGTCGTTACCTCCCCGTTCGGCTGCGGCGGAGGAATCCTGTCCGAAGGGATCGGGTTGCGGGAAACGCGTGCTCGCTGCTCCCTATGTCCGGCGCGAGTGGAGCTGTTGTAAAATGGCGGCCGAAGCTCACGCCGCTGGCAGCAAACCCGATCCAGTTCCACTCGCCTCCGAGCGCGCTCCCGGTGCGCGCGCGCGCCCCCGCGTGACCCCCCTTCCCTCCCCTCCCTCGCGCGTCCGCTTCTCTCACTCCCTCAGCCCCTGCCCTCCTCCAGCTCCTCCTTCTCCCCCTACCACCTCTACCAGCCTCCGTCCGCCCTCTTCTCTCGGCCTTTCTTCTTCCCCTCCTTGCTCCTCTCTCCCACCGCTTTCACTCCCGTCTGCGGCCGCTCAGGCACGAGTGGCCGCCTTTCCTCTCCTCGTTCGCACTCTCGCTCACTCCCTCCTTCGTTCGCTCTATCTCGGCCCCGTCCCCCAGTCCCTGCCGAGTCGGCTCCTCTCTTTCTCTCTCCCGCGCTGACGTGACGACGTAGCCTACGCCTCGGGACGCGCGCCCGCGGGCACCGCCCCCACGCCCCGCCACCTCCCTCGCTCCTCACCCGGGGGGGCGCGAGACCCCGCCCTTCCGCTCCGGCAGCGGCCGAGGGGCCGAGAGTGAATGAAAGGCCCGCCCCTTCCCCTCCCGACACTCCCCCTCCCACTCCCCTCCTGGCGGGGCGGGCCGGCTCAGCATGTCCCACTCGTTCTCCTTTGTCAGGAGACAGGCATCTCCCCACCCCGCCCCACCCCCCCCGCCGCAGCCCCACGCGTCTGCCCCACCCCCGCCGGGGCCGGGGGAGCATGGGGCTGGGGGCGCAGAGTGCGGCCGCAGCTTCTCCGAGGGCACCCACCGGTCGGTGCGCCGGCCCCCGCCCCGGCGCCGCCGCCGCGTAGTCGTTCCAGGCGGTGTCCACGCCGCCGCCACCCCGCGCTCTTCTCGCTCGGGAAGCTGCAGGCGCACGTGTCCCCCGGGGCGGGGCGAGGCAGACAATGGGGCCGCGGGGGAGGGGAGCGGCGGGGAGACCCGCGGATCTTTGCTCTGCTGGGTCGGCGGGACTGGAGTGCGGGAGTCTCCCTGGGGAGACCCGGTTTCCCCAACTGGACAGTGGGGCTTCCCGGAGCCCCGCACGGCTCAGCATTCACGAGAATCTTGCGGGAAGGGAGGGGCGCGCCGGACTCAGACGAGGAAACCCCAGCTGCTTTTGAAGGGGGAACGGGGCAGGCTTTGCCGGAGCCAGGAGTGGCTCCCTCCTCGGGGTGATACCAAGGCCAGATTTGGAAGCGAAACCACCCGGTGGTGAAGGGTTGTGCAATACTCCGTTTCTGTCCCTGGCCTTTTAAGCAGTTAAGGGCTCCTCCTGGCACAGTTTGAGCAACTTGAAACAGCACAAAGCTGTGTGGTTAGGACAACTGTGAGGAAAATATCAGTGTTTCTTTTCAAAAATCTTGGCAACTAAATCTTATATGAAGTGACATTTCCTTTGTAACCGTTTACTAGGTACAAGAAAGACAAGACAAAGGCGTTTGAATTTCAGACGCTTTGTGGATACTAATTTTATCCAATGCAGCTGTAATGAAAAATGATAACTATCCTTTTAATTAAAAAGCTTATTTTTAAGAATTTACTGTTTTGCCAAATGAGTCCCTATGCTATGATAACAAATCAGTGGTCTGAGGTAAAGTTAGATAATTACTCTTCTAAATGCATAAGCATATGAAATGGGGTTATTTTCATAGGCACCTGGATCAAATACGAAATATTTATTGGACAAAGTACTACTTAGCCAACCTGTTTAAAAGTTTTAAAATCTATAACTAAAATCCCTTACTGTCAATACCTGCTATGGTATTCAGCTAATTCAGCAATAAGGATTTTAGTACACAATCCAAAGGTCGTGATTAATGATAAATATGAAGAACAACCAAAATGTTTAACAGCAAAACATAATAAAAGTAGAGTAGTACTATGGATTACACTGTAGGTCTGAAACATACAACGTTTTATTTAGAGCTTTCTGAGTATCGAAGTTCTTTATTTAAAAAATGTGTCTACTTTGGGCAATGTGCTCACAGACTCCCAAATTAAAACCTCTATATGTCTCTTCTCTGACCTCAAATTCCTTTCTCTACCATGCCCTATACCCTTCTGTCATTATAAATCAGCATTTAAAGAAAAGAGCATTTGTTCTTCCCTCCCTCTAATCTTTCATTTCCAAAGTAAACCATCTCAATAAACATCATCCACAAGCACCCAGCAACATTAATTGGAACAGGTGGAGTGGTCCAGGACACTTTCTTCTCTTCACTGCCATAATCACTTCATAAAGTCCTACCCATTCTGTTTCCCAAATGTTTTTCCACTTTGGGGTTGCTACCACTGAGACAAAGCCGGCCTTCATCTACCACATGTACTAATAATGTAACCTCCTGCTTTTCCACTCTTGCTTCTCTCCTGATCCATTCAAAGAAATTCCAGCAAAACATAATAAAAGTAGAGTAGCACTATGGATTATCCAATGCAGCCGTAATGAAAAATGATAACTACCCATTCTTCTATGAGTTTCTCTATTTCTTTCTCTCTGCCCCAAGCAGTGGCACATACCTGTAATCCCAATGACTCTGAATGCTGAGGCAGGAGGATTACCAAATTGGAGGTCAGCCTGTGCAACCTAGTGAAACTCGTGTCTCGAAAATGAAAAGGGACCGGGGTGTAACTCAATGGTAATGCATGCCTGATATTTAACAGTAACATACACACACACACACCATTCTTGTGGAGCATCTGCTAAAAACCCCCTCATTGCCATAGTTCAGTAGTAGAGCACATGCTTAGTATGCAGAAGGCCCTAGGTTCAATTCTCAGCCCTAAAACAAATAAAAGCCCTTCATCAGGGATTAGGATTGTAGCTCAATGGTAGAGCATTCTCCTTTCACATGTGAGGCACTGGGTTCAATCCTCAGTGCCACATAAAAATAAATAAACAAACAAATAAATAAATAAAAGTATTGTGTCCATCTACTACAATAACAACAACAAAAAGCCCTCATTACTTCTCATTAAACTTAGAGTAAAAGCCCAAATCCTTTACTAGGTCAGCAAGGATCTCCAATATCTTCACCACCTGTCTTCCAGCTTCATTTCAACTACTTTGCAGCTTCAGCTGGCTTCCCTCAATTATTCTAGCTGCATTATTATTATTATTATTATTATTATTATTATTATTATTTGTGCATGTGTTACTAGGGATGTAACTGTACCAGGCATTTCTCACATTTCTAAGGTTTGCTCACACCAATGGCCTCCAGTCACAAAAGTGACTGATGTCCTAAGCAGAACTGAGTAGAAAGCACTTGGTGGCCAGGCATGGTAGTGCATGCCTGTAATCCCAGCTACTTGGGAGACTGAGGAAGAAGGATCACAAATCTGGGCAACTACGTCAAAAACAAACATAAATAAATAAAAATTTTAAAATAGATTTTTAGAAAAGGGGGTGGAACTATTGCTCAGTGGACAGTGGTAGAGCCCCCTGAGGTTCAATCCCCAGTACTGGGAGGAAAAAATCAGCCATGATCTCCATTTGATTCCATGGTTGAAGGGTGAACAGCATCTCACTATATTAAGAAGGCTATTCTTGAAAAGCAGGGCTCAAGTGATCCTCCCACCTCAGCCCCTGGAATAGCTGGGATTACAGGCCAACCTGGCAACACAATACTGGTTCATTTCACTCCTTTTTGAATAAAAGAGTGGTCTAACTTTCCTCTTAAGTCTTCAGAACATCTTATTACAGGCTTGACTCCATTGAAACATGGGGAATCTCAATAATAAGTTTAAAAAAAAATAGATGGAGGGATTCATTGTTATGATAGATAAATGCTGGGTTAGATGGAAATGTATACTTAAAAGAAAGGAAGCAGTAGCTCACACCTGTAATCCCAGGAATTCAGAAAGCTGAAACAGAAGGATTGCAAGTTCAAGGCCAACCTCAGCAATTTTGTGAGATCTTGTCTCAAGATAAAAAAGTCTATAGAAATGTGGCTCAGTGGTTAAGCACACTGGGTTCTATCCCTGATACCCACCCCAAAAATAAAATTTTAAAAAATATCAAGAAGGGAAAAGAAAGAAGAACATGTGAAAAATGTTTGTAAAGCACTACTCAAAAAAGTTACTTTGTTTTACTACTACCCTTCCATCCATATAACCTTTGAAATTGTGAGAAGATGAAAACCTATTGAGCTGGCAATTAATGAAAGGCAGGCATACAGGCAGGACTGTCTAGATTTTTCCTGTAGACAAAATTCTTCCATTTATTCAATGCTACACTATTTCAAAAACTCATATTTTCTTCTTGTCTTTTCTGCATTTTTTAAACTTTTTGCAATGAACATATATTGATTTTAAAATGGGACAGGAACCCTAAAATTCATAGGGAGAAAAAAAGTCCACCACGTATCATGTTTAATATAAAAGCATAAAAACCTAGATGTGAAAGAGACCAAGGAAGACATTCAATTAAATCTTTCTAGTAATCAAAGTCTTTTTGCAAAATCTGTACATCTTATTTTCATGGTAATAAAAAGGCTGATGTGTTGAAACTTAAAGATTCTATTCTGAGAAAGACACTACCTAGAGAATTAAAAGTCAAGACATAAGTGATTGAAGAAAAAAATCTTTTCAAAAACATATCTGATAAAGGACTGTTATCCAAAATATACAAAAAGTCTTTAAATCCCAATGATTTWAAAAAAAACTAATTAAAAAAAAGAAAGAAAAAGACATTTTTTTTAAAAAAATCCCTAATTTAAAAATAGGAATATATCCGAACAGATTCCTCGCAAAAGAAGAAATACAGATGTCAGATAAGCACATGAAAAGGTACCCAATATCTTGTTGTTAAGGAATTACAAATTAAAACAACAGTGAGATAGTATTATACATTCATTAGAATGGCTAAAACCCAAGGCACAGACAACAACAAATGTTGGCAAGGATGTGGAGCAACAGGAACTCTCCTTCTGGTGGGGATGCATAATGATACAGATTTTTTGGAAGATGGTTTGGCAGCTTCTTGCAAAACTAAACATGCTATTACCATACATCAATTGCACTCCTGGGTATTTTCTCATATGAGTTGAAAACATATGTTTACATGGCTATTTATAGCAGCTTTATTCATAATTGCCAAAAATTGAGAGAACCTACATGTCTTGCAATAGGCAAATGTATAAATTGTGACACATACGGAAGAGAATATTACTTAGTCCTATAAATAAATAAGCTATAGGGGTTAGGGTAGTGGCTCACTGGTAGAATGCTCACCGCCAATGTGTGAAGCACTGGGTTTGATCCTCAGCACCACATAAAAATAAATAAAGTAAAGGTATGTGTCCTTTACTTGTGTCCTAAAAAAGTATTTTTTAAAAAAAGAAAGAAGCTATAAAACAATAAAAAGACATAGAAAAATGTAAGGTTCATATTGCTTAGTGAAAAAAACCCATCCAAAAATCTATGAAGTTGCCTATAATCCTAGTTACTCTGGAGGCTGAGGCAGGAGTATCACAAGTTTAAATCCAGCCTCAGCAACTTTTTTAAAAAAATATTTATTTATTTTAGTTGTACATAATACCTGTTTTTATTTATTCATTATATATGTGGTGCTGAGGATCGAACCCAGGGCCTCGCATGTGCTAGGCGGTCACTCTACCACTGAGCCACAATCCCAGCACTCAGCAACTTTTAATGAGGCCCTAAGCAACTTAGCAAGACCCTGTCTCAAAATAAAAAGGGCTGGGTATGTAACTCAGTGGTTAAGTACCCCTGGGTTTAATCTCCAATACCAAAAATTTTWAAATTAAATAAATAAATAAAAGGCTACAGACTGTGTGATTTCAACTATATGACATTCTGGAAAAAAGTGAAACTATGGAGACAGTAAAAAGATTAGCAGTTTGCTGTGGGTTCAGGGGAGAGAGGGAGGAATAATAGCAGGTATATGAAAATTTTAAGGTGGTAAAATTAGTCTGTGTGATACTCTAATCATTGATAAATGTCACCATATATTTGTCAAACTTGTAGGATATAAAATACCTGGAGGAAACTCTAATATAAACTAGATTTTATTTAATAATAAAGTATTAGTATTGGTTTGCCAGTTGTAACAAATGTGCCAACTAATGTTCTATGTTAAAAACTGCACTTTCTGCTCATTTTTCTATAAAAGTAAAATTGCTCCTACATT